AGCTGTGAGCGGAGTGTACTCGGTGAAACGGCCCGAGGGGCCCCTTTGTTCCCGGACTTCCCGGGGTCGATCTTCTTTCCTTTTCTCCCCGGTACGTCGGGGAGGAGCCTCTTGTCATGAGCTGCTGCTGTTGTTGGGACCTCGAGCCCTGGAGTCTCGGGCCCTGTTGGCAGCTTCCCTCTCCTCGTAGTCCATGTATGCTCGGGCCTTATCGAGGAGGGCATCAAAAGTCAGAGGTGGCTCAATACCCACAGCCTTTCTAAATTCTGTGCCGGGGAGGAGACCCCTCTCCAGCAAGTATCTTTTCATGTGGTCCGCGCAGGGGACCTGTATTGCTTCTCGGTTGAAGCGGTTGATGAACTCCCTCAAGGTTTCATCCTGTCTTTGGATGATGGCCTCGAGGGCTGCCTCGGTCTTGGGATGGCGCCGAGAAGCTGTGAAAGAACTGATGAACTGGTTCTTCAGGTTCCGCCACGACGTGATCGAGCCCGGGGCGAGTCCTTTATACCAGTCCATGGCCGCCTTCCTGAGAGTTGTGGGGAAAAGACGGCACTTGATGCCCCCCCGACATTATGATAGTGGAGCATGGCTTCGAACCCGTCAATGTGGTCGACCGGGTCCGCCACTCCGTCATACTCCTTCAGATGCGGGGGCTTCTCCATGCCCGGGGGGATGGGTGCGTCCATGATGGCCTGCGACAGGGGACCGCGGGGGTCGTCCTCGTCGCTTCTCTCCGGAGAAAGAGATGGAGACCTGTAGTTTTGTCTGGCACGGTGGTCGTGCTGAGTTTTCCCTCGAGCGTGATGCTCAGTGGTTGAAGGTCACCCGCCCGTCCGCGGTGTGCCTCTTGTCGTGCCTTGACGGGTCGCGACTGGGTTCTCCAGCAGGGATGGAGGGCTGTCTCTCATAGTAGGGCCGCCTCTGCTTTGGCCGGGGAGAGGGGCTCCTGGAGTTCTCCCTGTAGTGTCTCCGCGGGGGAGAAGGGTGTCGAACTTCTGTGACCCGAGGAGGTGGAGAATGTGGCCTCCGATGCCTCCTCGGGGGTCGTCGATCATCTTCAAGTGCCCTTAATCTTTCTCCTTGGGCGAAGATGAGATAGTTTGTCTGATTGATGGCCGCGAACAGTGCCTGAGTCGTGGCATCTGCCCCGGCGGGAACTGGGACTTCGTGGAACCGGGCAGCTCTGTAATGAGCGAGAGCTACCGGGTCGTCTTCAAGTGCTGGTGGGGTCGAGGAGGATGATGCAGTAGCCCCGTCCCTGTAGGAGGAAGTTCCAGGGGCGGTCGTCACAGGAATGGCACTGTGGTCGGGATCACCGGGGTTATCGAGGTGTCCATTCTTGTCCGCGGTGCCGTTATTAGTGTCGGCGACACGGACGTGCTGCTCGTCGCGAGCTGGATCAGCCATGACAGGTAGTTGAATTGAGCTTTGGTCTTTAGAGTTGTTCGTTAGACGGGGAAGCTAGTTCCCACAGACGGCGCCACTGATCGGACCTGATCAGAAATGGACCGTCACGGCTGGCTCCGAGCAGAAAGCTTTTTGAACGAAGTGGGGGGGGGGGTACCTGCAAGGCACTCCGATGCTGAAGTAAGTAGGAGTACGAGCAGATAATAGCAAGTGTAAGGTTAGAATGATGAATACCTGACCCTCTGGAAGCAGAGGGTATTTATAGCCCCCAGCGCTGGGCCAAGGTTCCTTCATTGGGCCGGGCAGGTTTGGCCCAATGGAGGAACTACCAGGTTCTACGTGCGTAGTGGGGACCCGCGCGTGGTCCCCTTCCTGGATGTTCTGCGTGAAGTGCGGGCGGACGGAGACGCGGTCTTTTCGGGGTATCGTTGGGGGAACAGTGGACTGAGTCTGCCCTAGCTGGGGTGCTCGAGGTAATGTCGAGCTGGACCTCAGGATGTGGTGCTGGACCGCAGCATGTCGAGCTGGAGGTGTGTTGTCGAGCCTGCGACTACCCGTCGGGCACGGTCGTACTCTTTGGTCGGCGTGGCCCTTGTAAGTCCATTTGGACTGGGCCTTTGCAATGCTTTTGGGCCTGTCGGGCCCAGTCCAGAACAGATGTTATGATGGTTCATCCGATGTTTTGAAAGTGTTATATATCCACGATGAATGCAATGAATTTTGATAGAAGAATTTATGACGTTCCGATTTGTTTGTATGATTGAAATTTTATAACTCTGATTTAATTTATATAATTGCTTGTGGTAGAATTGGGGTGTTACACCTATTGTGCTAGCTTAAAAATCACATGCATCACAAATATAAGTATCACAAACATTTTGATTTTGATGTAGTTAATTTAGAAATATAGTAAAATTGTTCTTCCAAGTGTAATTTGAATACATAAGCATATCATTTTCATTAATATTGAATGTGTAATCGTTTGAATATGTAACAAATAAAATTACATGAACGAATTATGTTACATGTCTCAATTTTACATCTTTTATGATAAAAATATAACCACATATTTTTTTATTAATATTGAAAGTGTAATCGTTTGAATACGTGACAAATAAAATTACATGAATGAATTATATTACATGTCTCAATTTTATATCTTTTATGAAAAAATTAAATCCTTTTGGTCAATTACATATCTAAATTTTAACACAAATATACTTATGTTAGAAACAAAATTACATGATAAAGTTACAAACAAAAATTACTTGATAAAGTTATAAACAAAAGTTATCTGTTATAAATAAAATGTAAGTGAAATATAGTAAATTCTAATCTGCACATTTACATTTAACATCTTTGCATAATTATCAACTGAATTAACTTAAATTACAAACATAACTCATATGTTTTACATGAAATAATACGAATTAACAATAACAACAAAATAATAAATAATAATATTACAATAACAATACAAAATATATTAAAATAAAATTAATTATTATATTAATTATTAACATAAACATGACGATAAACATAATAATAACAACAATATCCGATATTAAAATAATTTTATATTAATTTAGAAAAGTTATTGTGATCAATAAGATGATTAAAACCAACCAAAAAATCATAAAATAAATTTAAATTTTGACCTTATTTTTAAGGTCGTTATTAATCTTCTCCACCAATTTTTCCTTCTTTTTCTTCAAATTAAACCTGATTCAAATATAGATTCATCACTTCCTTTAAACAATCCATCATCTGGTTATCACATCAGTTAAAAAAATGACATTATTTTATTTTTTGAATTTAAATAATACAAAAAAGAAAGTAAAATCAAAAAATTTGGGATGTCAAATATAAAAAAACTAAATAAAAGTTAGGGATGAGCATGCATCTTATATAGGACACTCATAAAATCTACTATCGGAGTTTTCAAATGTCCAAATAGTTACTAGTAAAAATTTAAAACAGTAATTTAATCAAATATTAATTTTTTATTTATCTTCAATAAATAATATTTTTAAAATTTATATGGACTAAATAAGAAATTTATGATAATTTTTGAAAAAAAGTCAAATCAAATACTTTCTTTAGCAACAGAAATATTTATATTTGTTAAAACAATATAATACAATTTTCATATAAGTAAAACCTAAAGATTTGATTTGAAATTAAAGATAAAAAATCTTCGAAATCAAAGACAATTGTAACACAATTATTTCTAGTCACTTTTTGGATAAGACAGATTAGGCTTCTTTACCCTCCATTGCCCGAAACAAGGGACAAAAATACAAAATGCCACGTATATTTCTAAGTAGCATTATTTTGCACATTTTCTGTTCATTTTTTTTCAAAAACAATTTGTTTCTATCTTCTTTATTCAACTAAGGTACACACCTTTGACCATTATGCAGATCACCAAAAAAGTTACTCACTCTATTTGTTACCCCATTTATTAATTATACAAAAAAAAAGTTGATACAGTAAAAAGTTTTACTCCATTAATAAATCACTATAAATTTTTATTTTTTAAATTATAAAAGATAAAATTATTATTAATAATAATAAATTCAAACATTAGAGTGCGGACATTATATAAACTTTATACACAAATTTTTACTAAAAACTTTAAAAATATGTAGAATTAAAAATTAAATATTTTAATAATTATTAATTTGTCAACATAAAATATTTTATATTTTATCACTATTATAAACAAATATTTATTTTTTAAATTCACCTAACATAAATGTATTAGATTTATATGATATTTATTTACATTGTTTAATAAATCTAAAAATTAAAAATAAGTTATACAATCACAGAAGATATAATATTTAAAAAAAATATGAGATGCATTATCAAATTAATGACTATGATATATTTTATTAAATTACACTGATATTTTATAGTTAATGATATACTATAATTAAATGATAAAATTTTAATAGGCAATAATATAAAATTATTTTACACGTTGAATTTCATTTAATCTTTATCTTTTTATATATCTTATCGAATTATATAAATATTTAAAAACTAATCTATAAAAACAATACTTTATGTGAATTGATTGAATTTTTTTATTAATACGTAACTATTAATCTTAGACAAAGTAATGTAACGAATAAATAAATAATATATTTTTGTAATAAAAAAATGCAGTTGTATTTTGTTCATGATGGGTAGGGGATAGAAGTGGTGCAAAATCGAGGGCTTTTCCTCTTTCCACCGTCTTAAAATATTCTCTCTACGGTTTTCTGCAAAATCGTGAACGTGGATCTCTTCCATCTTTCTGCGTTCAATTCAAATTATTGCGGTTTCTGGTATGTTTTCATTTCTTTTTGGATTCATTTCGATTCCGTGAATTTCAGAATTCCCAGATCTCGTTTTTTGTTTCAGTTGTTGCATCTTCTACTTGGGGTTTAGCTTAATTGGAGTAACGATTTTGAGATTTTGAGTTTTCGATCTCGAGGTTTTAGCTAGGATTTCTCAGAGGTGAAATTCGGAGGGTTTTTTTGTCGGTGAAATTTTTGTCAGGTTTTTGTGAGATCAAGAGGAAGGAAGGGTTAGGGTTTTAGTCGATGGCTTCGAATCCTCCATTTCAGGTGGAGGATCAGTCGGATGATGAGGATTTCTTTGATAAGCTTGTTGAGGATGATGATGATATGGAGCCTGTAAAGTCTAGTCATAAGGGAGTGGATGATTTTGATGATGTGAAAGCTTTTGCGAATCTGAGTATAGGTGACGTTGATGCTGCTGCTGCTGCTACATTGGAGAAGTTTGATGCTGGTGAAAGTGGGGTTGAAGTCAAAGAGGATTTGAGTAGTTTGAAATCTGATGTGAGTTTGATTGGTGGACATGATGAGCAAGAGGGGAATTTGTTGATTGCTTCTAGTTCAGTTGAGTGTGATGGTAAGACGGATCTTGTTACGGATGTAATTGGGAGATCGGAGTTGACGGAGCTTTCTGATGTTGGGAAGAGCAATGAAGTTGCTAGTTCAGGGATTAAGGAGAAGGGTTGGAATTCCTTCCATGCTGATGCAAATGATGGTACCGGGTTTGGATCGTATTCTGACTTTTTCAGTGAGTTAGGAGATCAATCCGGGGATTTTCCGGCGATTTCACACGATAATTTAAATAGTCAAGCGAATGTTGTTAATGAAGCTCAAAATGTTGGCTTTAATACTTCGGTGGATTACTTGCAATATCAAGGGGTTCAGGGTTACGATACGTCTTTTGAATTTGCAAATCACACGGACAAGCAAGGTGATGGCTTAAATTCTCCCGTCAATTATGTGCAGTATCAAGAGGGTGGAGTTTATGATGCATCTTCAAACCAACACAGTAATGGACAGGATCTAAGTAGTAGTCAGAATTGGGAGGATCCTTATCCTGGCTGGAAGTATGACCATACCAGTGGGCAATGGATTCAAATAGATGGCTACGACACAACAGCTACCAGTCAGCAAACCTCTGAAGCCAATACAGCTGTAGATTGGTCTGCTGCTGCTGATGGAAAAACAGAAATCTCTTATCTGCAGCAAACTGCCCAGTCTGTTGCCGGAGCTTTGGCAGAAACAGGCACAACTGAAAGTGTATCTAGCTGGAATCAGGCTTCACAAGGAAATAATGGGTACCCGGAGCATATGGTTTTTGATCCCCAATATCCTGGTTGGTATTATGACACAGTTGCCCAAGAATGGCGCTCATTAGAAACTTACAATTCATCCATTCAGTCTTCTGTTCACGGACTTGAAAATGGGCATACTTCTACCAGTAATTCCTCCCTTAATAATATTAATAACAATATGTATAGTGAGTACAACCAGGCTGGTCATTATGGATCTCAGGGTACTGGTAGTCAGGCCGTAAATGGTAGCTGGAATAGTTCATACGGTGTTAACCAACAACAGCAGGGTTTTGACATGTACACGACTGAAGCTACCACTAAAATTAGGGATAATATAGCTACTGGTGGTAACCAGCAAGTTAGTAATTCTTATGGTTCAGGTAACCAGCAAGTTAATCATTCTTATGGTTCAGGTAACCAGCAAGTTAATCATTCTTATGGTTCAAGTATGTCTGGAATCAATGATCATGTAAATACTTCAAGCCCCTTTGGATCAATTGCATCATACAACAAAGTAAACCATGATCACGGTTTGACTAATGGAACTTTTGAACCCAAAACTTTTGTCCCTCGTGGGGACTTTGCTCAACAGTCGAATTATTCAAACACAAAGTTCGATGAACAAAAACAATTCTCAAATGTTTTTGCTGAAATTCAGAACTCCCATAGTTATTCCCAGCAATCAATCCAAGGTGGACAGTATGCCCCTCATGCTGGAAGATCATCTGCTGGACGTCCTTCTCATGCTCTGGTAACATTTGGATTTGGTGGAAAACTCATCATAATGAAAGATCCAAGTGTTTTGAGTGCATCTTGTGTAAGCCAGGTTATTTCTTGCATCCTCTTTAGTTTTGATCTACATTTGGTCTTGTTTCCAAAAAACTCTTAGAGTACTTGTGTTTGAAGATATTTTCGCCCCCCTCTCTCTTCTACTTTCCACCAAGTGCTTCCTTAAATGATTAACAATCTATATTTAATTTTTCTGAAGGATTCTGCACAAGGTTCTATATCTGTGTTGAACTTGATGGAAGCTGTCACGGGAAGCATCGGTTCCATGACTAGTGGAAATGCTACCGGTGATTATTTTCGTGCTCTAAGCCAGCAATCTTTCCCCGGTCCATTGGTTGGTGGTAGTGTTGGAAGTAAGGAGCTGTACAAATGGTTAGATGAGAGGATTGCACGCTGCGAATCACCTGATATGGATTATAAGAAAGGCGAAAGGTTGAGACTCCTCCTCTCCTTGCTTAAAATAGCTTGTCAGCATTATGGAAAACTGCGTTCTCCTTTTGGTACAGACACCATACTAAAAGTAAGTTACATTTTTAATCTTTCATTTTTCTGTTTATAAATAATTTCTTGTTGAATTTATTGCACCATACTTTGCAGGGTTGGTCAACATTCTATTAAGAGCTGTATTATTCACTAGATTATGCAAAAAATTTGGTTAACTTCCATAAATGCAAATCCTGTTTACCCTCTGTTAGGAACCCTAGAATTGAATTCCAAAGGAACACTTTTATGAATAATTATGATAGAATATGAGAGGATCTTTCTTCAAGGATTTCTCCTTCACACAAGAGTTGCTACTCTGTTCACAAATGATTGCAATGTTCAATAATGGTCAACTCTACATTGTATTCTCCTATTTATACAAATAGCCATATAACAACCTCAACTAACTGACTAACTTCTATAACAACCTACTAATTAACTAACTTCTATAACAACCTACTAATTAACTAATTAACTTCTATATCATCTGTTAACTATTTAACTACTCTAACTAATCACTATCTTATATCCTAACACCCTATGTTTGCTATCTTGCAATGTGATAGGAATGATTTTTAACATGTTGGTGTAGATGATATACGTTCTTCATTTCTGTCTAGTACTCACTTCCTTTTGGAGTGATTTTTAACATAATTATAATTACTTTGCAAATGTTTATGTTCTATTCTTTTTGTTTGGCTAAAATATTATGCTTGACTCTCCTAATTACTCTCTAGGTAGCCAGTAACTGAGTCATATTATTGCCTCAATACTATTCTTCCCGGGATCATTTGATAACACTGTGAATTGTATTTTGAAACAGGAAAGTGATGCTCCTGAGTTAGCAGTTGCAAAACTTTTTGCATCTGCCAAGGTGAGTGGCACAGAGTTCACTCAGTATGGGATGCCAAGTCATTGCTTGCAAAATTTGCCATCTGAAGATCAGATGAGGGTGTGTATTAAGTTAACTCATAACACGATCCATCTTCACATTATTTTGTTTCCATATCTGATTTTGATTTGATTTAGGTCATTACTGCTGAGGTACAAAATCTTCTTGTCTCTGGCAAAAAGATGGAGGCCTTACAGCATGCACAAGAAGGACAATTGTGGGGACCTGCACTTGTTCTGGCTTCACAACTTGGTGAGCAGGTCAGATGACACAATTTCAGAATGTTCTATTACTGTTGATGCTCGTATCTCATATCTGATCTAGACGATCCCTTTAGGGTCTTCTGATCTTTTTCTCATGCCACCTTTGTTGCGGAAATAAATTTGGTCCATATTTGCGATGCAGTTCTATGTTGATACAGTGAAGCAAATGGCTCTTCGCCAGTTGGTTGCGGGATCACCTCTACGCACATTATGCCTTCTAATTGCTGGACACCCAGCTGAAGTGTTCTCTACCGAAACCTCAAGTAGTGGGTATCCTGGTGGTTTTAATATGCCTCAGCAGTCTGAACAGGTGATTCCATAGGATAATGGAAGAAGCTATGAAATCTAGATGTTCTATTACTTATATTTGACTAATACTCCTTCCGTTTTTTTTAGTTGCCGTTTTAAGGTTATTTACACGTACCAATAAAATCAATAAATTTTCTTACTTTTGATAAAACCATTTGAAAAATACTCGCTCAGTTCCGTTTTAGTTCTTGTTTTAGGGATATTTACACATAACAACTAAATCACTAAATTTTGTCACTTTTGATGGAACCAGTTCCCTTTTACAACAAAACAATAATTAATTGTTTCATTGAATTTTTAAAATGACAAGTAAATAGGAACATATTTTTCCTACAAAAGTGACTTTAGTAAAAAGTAACGGGGGAGTAGTTGCAAAGATTAATAATGCTTTTTGTTTGACTTGTTAGTTAAAACTTAAGTTGTTGCTGGAAATTTTAGGTTGGATCTAACGGTATGCTTGACGATTGGGAAGAGAATCTGGCTGTAATAACTTCAAACAGAACCAAAGGTGATGAGCTTGTAATTATTCACCTTGGTGATTGCTTATGGAAGGAAAAACGGGAGGTACGACTCTTGTTCTTGTATTTATTCTTTTCATTGATTTTTGTAACTCCATTATGCTTCTGATTTGAGACTCATATTTTAGATTACTGCTGCACACATCTGCTATTTAGTTGCTGAAGCAAACTTCGAGTCTTACTCAGACAGTGCAAGACTTTGCTTAATAGGAGCAGATCACTGGAAATGTCCTCGAACTTATGCTAGTCCAGAAGCTATTCAGGTAATTTGAAATTTCCTTAGTTCTAAAGTTACGTCGTGCATGCGTTTGTTGTGTCCTTTTCCCACAAAATATTAAGTATGCCGTGTCTTTCTGCCAATAGCTCTCTTGCTTTGTCACATAGTTTTTCTGGTTGCTAATCGCTCAAATTTTAGGGATTTTGCGAGGTTCAAACAGGGGCTCTTCATAAAAATCAAGCGGAGTGAATAAGAATGGGGAAAATGAAGTTATACACACTGGTTACACAAAATACAGTGTTTCATGACACGTCATGTATTTATCGAGCACATAAGTTTTTTCTGTAATAGTGCTTCATTAAAAGGCTAACGATGTAAATAGTTGCAAATCTAAGGATCAATTACGCATAAAAAAAAAGTAAAACATAAAAGATTAGAAGATGCATTTGGCCTTATATTTAAAAAGAAACCATTCTAGTGTTTTGTATGCTTTTACATGATTGATCATCTATCTGTGTGGTATATTGTGCTAGCTCAGTAACTATTGCTTTCTAAAAGAACATGTTCAACATGATTTGATATTTTCTTTTGTATGACTAGACTCCAAAATAACTCAAACTTTTCTGATTGATGCTTGGACAGAGGACAGAGTTATATGAATATTCAAAGCTGCTTGGAAACTCTCAGTTTGTGTTGCATTCATTTCAACCATATAAGCTTATATATGCATATATGCTAGCGGAAGTGGGAAAGGTTTCAGACTCATTGAAGTAAGTTCATGGAGTATTATCTGCGATTTCATTCTCTTTATGATCTATCTCATTGTTTTTTTATTTTTAATCTCAGGTACTGCCAAGCAGTACTGAGATCTTTGAAAACTAGCCGTGCTCCGGAAGTAGAAACATGGAAACAGCTGGTATTATCTCTTGAAGAGAGAATCAGGACCCACCAACAGGTACTTCCTTGTCCTCAATTAATTCTTAATTATTTTGATAGTTTTGTTACTTACTCTATCAACGGATATTCGTTCAGGGAGGATATGCAGCAAATTTAGCTCCTGCAAAATTAGTTGGCAAATTGCTCAACTTTTTTGATAGCACTGCCCATCGAGTTGTTGGTGGTTTACCACCGCCCGGTCCATCATCATCACAAGGGGCTGTACATGGAAGTGAACAGCATTATCAGCAAATTGCACCAAGAGTATCCACTAGCCAGTCAACAATGGCCATGTCATCTTTAGTTCCATCTGCTTCAATGGAACCCATGAGTGAGTGGACAGCTGACAATAATAGAATGGCAAAGGCTAATAGAAGTGTTTCAGAGTCAGATATTGGTAGAATCCCTAGACAGGTGTGTGAGTACCGTGAAAGCAAAGCTGGAAGATTTTCCCCTTCCTTTGTGTTTTGATTGACTGACATTATATTTAATGTTGAAAAAAATATGGTCCTTTTATCCCAGGAAACAACATCGCCTGATGCACAAGGAAAAGTCCAGGCATCAGGGGCTCCATCACGCTTTTCTCGTTTTGGTTTTGGATCACAACTTCTGCAAAAGACTGTGGGGCTAGTCATGAGACCTCGGTCTGGAAACCAGGTATCATTAGTTGTTCTTTACAGTTATTCTGCTTTATTTTCTTTTTCTTCTCAACTGTATTTCTGAGTCCTGACTGATCCTATTCAAATGGTTTGTATTCTGCTCTATCCTAAGGCTAAATTGGGTGAGAAAAACAAGTTCTATTATGATGAAAAGCTAAAGAGATGGGTAGAGGAAGGTGCTGAAATTCCAGCTGAAGAAGCTGCTCTGCCACCACCACCTCCGACAACTGCTGCTTTCCAGAACGGTTCAACTGAATACAACTTGAAATCTGCATTGAAGACAGAAAGTTCAATTCCGAATGAGTACTCGATCACAAGAACTTCAAGTCCTGAACCTAGTCCAGGGATGCCGCCGATACCCCCTAGCTCAAACCAATTCTCTGCTCGCAGTCGCATGGGTGTTCGGTCAAGGTAATATACTTTTCATTGTCAAATTAAGTAATAGTTGCAAACAGTTGGCATTTTTGTTTTTTAGTTGTATTGTTAGCTGTGAATCATTATATAGTGAAACTCATGTATGTTAGCTTCTCATTGAGATTATAAAACTTGAAATGGAAATTTTTCCTGAAGTATAAGAGTGACACTCATTTCCCCCGAGGTATGCTTGAAAAATACATGCACCCGAACTATTTTATATGCTAACACTCACCACTCTTATTTGTTGGAGAAGTGACACTCACCACTCTTATTTGTTGGAGAAGTGGCACTCACCTCCTTTCAGGTCTATTTAAGTGACTCATCTCCCTTGACATATGTCTAAATGGCACGTTCACACTAATTTATTTTGGTGACTTAAAATGAAGGTGTCTTTTACAAAATCAAGTTGATGTATGTGTTATTTAGACATAGCTTAGGCGAGGGGCGAGTGCAATTTTTCCCCATCTTTAATATTTTATTAGTTCTGGAAAGGGCCGAAATATAGATGTTTATCTTCTTGAGTCCTAACTTAACTAGAAATACCAAAAATGAAAAAAAGCTGGAGATGATGAAGAACCTATGAGCTCTGGTTATTCTGTGCCGGTGGTGCCGCCACTCAATTTCCAGAAACAAGAGGAAAATTTTATGTTTTATTTTATATGTCTGTCAATCAGCCAACAATATTTGAAAGACAATATTGATGAAACTGTTCATGCATTTTGTTCAGATATGTTGACACCTTTAACCAAAATGGCGGAAGCTCTGCAAACTTGTTTCAGTCCCCTTCCATTCCATCTGTGAAACCTGCTCTTCCCGCCAATGCAAAGTTTTTCATTCCAGCTCCTGTACAACCATCAAATGAAAGAAATATGGAGGCTATTGCGGAAAGCAACCTAGAAGATAGTGCAGCTAATGAAGACCCTTCTACATCTTCCACAAATGATTGGTCATATCAATCTCCAAAACTTGCACAAACAATGACCATGCAAAGGTTTCCAAGTGCTGGTAACATCTCAAAACAGGGCCTTATAGATGGCAATAACTCTGATTTTGCCCATTCTCGTCGAACAGCTTCATGGAGTGGAAGTCTTAATGATTCATTTAGCCCTCCAAAAATGGGTGAAAATAAGTATCCAGGGGAAGCTTACAGCCTGCCACCATCCACATTTATGCCTGATCCATCTTTAATGCGGCCGCTAAGAAGTAGCAGTTTTGGTGAAGATCTTCAAGAGGTTGAACTATGAGCATATACTCAAGCTTGTAAATATCAAATTTTGTTTTTGATCATCAGAATAATTGGGACTTCCCTGCTTCAGCATTTCTCTAGAAGTATGGAATAGTGGAACACACCAGATGGAGTTTATACAGAAACAAAAAATATACCCATCTCCATACCCCGTTCCCATTCTCTTCTCAGTATTTTTCAAGTTCCCAACTCCCGACCCGGTGTTGTATGATTAAATGCTGTTTTGTTTAAAATGACAAGGGGTTGACCCCAGCTGCCATATCAGGATTATGGAACTGGTGTTACAGCAAGAAATATGGCCTCCTCTTTAGGACTCATTTATTCATTATATTTTATCAAACAAGAACACAACAGGGGAAAATATGGCCGCAACAGATCAAAGACAAAGTATAGTTTATGGAATTGTAATATAAAGTTTCACTTTTTGTATTTGTTTCAGTAAATTAATCGATATTAAGTTTCCAGATCACTCTTCAGTATTTCTTTATGGTGTGATGATGGGTGCAAAGCATATGCTCGTCAGTGATTGTTGTACTATGCAGTGAAGGAGATTCAATGTCTTGATATATAGAGTCCGGTACAAAGTTGCAATAGTGATATTTGGGGAACTAGAGACATAAACACTAGAAAGATGAGAAGAGAGAGAGATAAAGAAGTTGATGAGAAATAAAGCAGATCTTTTTATTTTTTATTATTAAACAAGAATAAGAAGTATTGTTATTTCTTAAAAGGCAAGTATCCTTACTAAAATATTGTTCCAATTAACACAACAATGTTATGCATAGTATGTTATCCAAAAGAAGGGAATTTCTTAGTACATCTATAAGGGTGAAAAAATTTCTGAAAACATATCTTTTGAATATGTATATTTGAACGGATTTCTAAATCAATTTTTAAGGTGTTTCGGAGATGTATATTTGAAAATCTCTTATTTACCTGTTGTTATTATTTGAACGTTAGATTTAAACACTTGGTGGTATTTTTTGATATGTATCTCTGAAAGACCTTGAAAATTGATTCAGGGGTTCGTTCGGATATGCATATCCGAAACTCTGGACAAAATGAGTTTGTTGCATAGTTCTTTTTTATAAATCATTAATGTTAGTACTTAATAAACACAACAGTTTGATACGTATTTCGTGTAAATAATATCGAATATTGAAAATCGAAAATGATATGACCATAAAATGTTTAGAAATACTGGAAATTAATACATATATTGTTTAGAAAATACATCATGTAAAATTATTTCATCGGGAAATACAAATAAAGTATAGTCTACCGCGTATGTCTAATCCTAACCCCCTGACTCCTCCTTTGTCTTCTGTAGTCTGCTGCACTTGATATCTCTCTAACCATCCTCTCTACAATGGCCACCGCCTTAGGACTGCCTCCTGTCCACCACCTAAGTTCAAAGGCTCTTGTCCAATCATCTGTATCCACTGACAGATCGACAATACATCATTGGCATGGTCATTCTGAACTTGCTGGTTCTCTAAGATCTCCTCATGAGCTGACCTAGGTGGACGTCCAGGAGCATCCAGTGTCATAATATGGTGTGACACTGTGTATAATCAATGTCACATATGCCTTTACACAATGTCAACTGCTGGATACCTGTATCACCTAACACTATGATTCTTCCAATTCTGGAAGATGCCGTCGAGCTTCCGACGAAAAATGGTGTCGGGAGCAACCTGAAAGGTAGATCTGGGTATGGTCTGCACATAACTAAATTGTCAGATGCATCGCTCTGGAAGATACCAGACCATAGTGTTGGTCTCACATGTCAGCCATCATGAGTATAATGAGATGGAGTCGAATGAGACAATCTCCTTGTGATCTCCAAAAGGCGTTCAAATGATGTCATCATGAACAGTCTGATCAAGATAGACGTGGAACAATAACACATCATGATTCCCTTTGAGGCTTTACTTGGGAGCCTTCGGCACGTCCTCACTATACTCCCGATCATCATCGAAACCATGAATGCAGTGGAAGTGAGAAATGATCCATCCCTAACAACGAATACGAGCTATCTAAGAAAAAAATATTATTAGCAAATTAAATGTAATAGTTGGAATGAAAGGTACAGTGAGCAGTGTGCAAGAGCCTATCAGCTGCCTCGTTCTCTAGTTATAAGTTTCATTCAACTTTTGGTATAGGTATACCAAACAGTTAGCCCCCAGTCCCACTCCCTAACTATATCCAAATTCATGAAGTACTAGAGATATACCACATTCACGTGGTTTTCACTTTTGTCCGAAAAAATGGACGTGCCAATCAAGAAAAGTAACACTGCAAAGCACAATGACGATGTCACGGGGGTACTGAACAAAGAACTCATTGTCCTCTCTCTTGGAAGATGTTGCTGCATCCAGGTGATCACCATATAGGTCTCTCGGGAATGAGAACTTGGAATGAGCCCCATTAGTTGAGTCACACTGTTCATATGCCTTTTTTGGTTGAGCTTCCAAATACTCGATCATCCATTCAATCGCTTCACCATGAATAATCCGAGAGTGGTTAAATAATCTCCCCCTGATAGAAAGATGTAGCAGGCATGCAATATCGTCAAGTGTGATTGTCATCTCCCCAACAGGAAAATAGAAAGATGACGTTTTCTTGTGCTATCTTTTGGCAAATGCCCATTGCATGCCGTGGCTAATAGTACTATAGCCAAAACAACAAAGTTCGTCAAGTCTGGAGCCAAGAATGGCCTCCCTGAACCAATCCTCATTAGGATGATGTAGCTCAAATATTTTTTGCGCGTGGTTCACAGACTTTATGTGTAACACCCTATTTCCCTATCGGTAACTTAATAAAAAATAGAGTAAATTAATTATTAAATCAAACACCAAGAATATGATGCCACATCTTTCAACATATCAAAAACCTTATCCAGTATAAATAAACAGATATATAACACACTGTTATACCCCAAAATTTGTCCTCTCATTTATCAAGACTTTTCTCACAAGATCTCTTTGACTCAAGACAAGATTAAGGTTTGATCAGCTCAGGACATCTCATCTTGCACTGATAACCCCAAACTAGGGTTTGAGTTTACACAAGGATTTTTGGACTATCAATGCTTCATGTGACTATCAAAAATCATTATAGACCCCTAAGATCACCCATAATAAGTTTCAAGCCTTGAACCACATTTTTGATCAGTCAATTGGGCAGTTGACCTAAAAATTAGCTGTATTGGGGAAAAAGTCAACCATAGCCAATTTACAGTCAAACTTCATAGTTCTTGATCCACATCAACATTTTAAACTTATATGTATCATTTGGTCAAGTTTGGATCACAACTCCTCAAGAAATTTGATCAAATCACAAAAAGGGCAAAATGGTCAAAATTAGGGTTTTGACTGAGGAAGAGAAATTTCAGATTTTTAACCTAAAAAATGACCAATTGAGTTCAAGCATGATATCAAGGATTCAATGGAATCATATTGACTTAATTACATGGCTCAAAACATCTCAAATGCGTTGGATTGACAGATGAAATTTGCAGTCAACTGATCAAAAGCCAACTGTACACTGAAAAGTCAAACTTTGACTTTTTTGGTCAAAATCAAGTACCAAGGGTCATAATTCATCAAAACATTTCCAAATGTGAAACTTGTTCATCAAGAAATCCAAATTTGAAAATTAGGGTTTGAATTTGAAAATTTTCATAACTTGGAAATTTTCTAAGTATGAAAATTTTCTTATTTTTTCTCAACTTTACACCATTTTTACACCATGATGCTTAATGATTCAAGGAAAATTCCCAACATGAAAGTTGTAGATCTCCATGAAATCTACAACTTTTATTCACAAACTTTTCCCTAAAGATGCTTGGATCTCAAGTTATAAATTTGTGAATACATGGTCATGAACTTCTTAACTTAGTGAAATATTGCCCTAATTTAGGCAGGTTTTGGACCCAACTTCATGGAAATTTTTCACCTAGTTCCAAGAGGTATCTCAAAATGGATTTCAAAGATGAATTATAGAGCACATTGCAATATTTCCAAAATGTCCAAGAACTCCTCAAGATCATTTTTGAGTAGGGATAATCGAAGAGAGGAAGTTGGCATTTTCTCAATTTTTGTTCAAGCCATTTCATGAAGAACCAAGTTGCAAATCAATCCTATGATGGCTATTTCATGCTGTACAGGTTCTAAACTTGTTCCACACTCCTTAATTAAATGCTTGCCCAGTTGACAAAGCCTCTATCCATGCTTTTGAACCTTTATCCAACTTGTAATTCCATTTATGGCAAAAAGGTTCTATTGCCATTTTCATAAAGAACCAATTTTGCAAACTTTTCAATTTTGAGCTTTGAACCTGTCCCCCTGATACATATTGTTGTACCCCAAAATTTGCCCTCCAATTTTTCCACAAGAAATCACAGCTTCGGGCTTTTCCTGATTTTTCAGATTGGCGTAAGAATCAGTCAAACAGACTTTTCTTATCAGTCAAACAAAATTAGGGTTTTCATTGATTTTAAAGCAGTTCAGGCAGATTGCTAAGGTTTGGTTGAGTTGGCTCAGGTTTTGATCAGGCAGGCGCTTCTCTGACATTTAATCAAGAACTAGGGTTTTGTGCGCGTATTTCTCAGAAAGAATTAATTCTATAGTTCTTCTCAGTTTACTGTGAAATTTGGACTGAGTCATTTGGATTGAGTTTGCAGTGTCTGATTAAATCAGTAAAAGGAAAAGACATTTGGGCATGTGTTGATTTGACTGTGCATTGCTATGTTTAATTCGGAACGCCGGACGTTTATTAATTATTTCTTTTTCTAAGTCAGAATAATTGGATTTATTTCCAATTGTTTTAATTTAAGAAACTCAAATAATTAAAATAAACAATTGAATTGGAAGAAGAATTAACTGATAAAAAGAGGGATGTTTATTTATTTTGAATTGTTTGTTACAGATATTATTTAAATACTGTAAATTTATTTACAGTTATTTACATTAATACTATTACAAATAATTAAAA